CCAAATAAAACTCGCCCAGGCCTCTATGGACTTTCTCGACTCTGAAGTCATTACATTCCCACACAACATGGGCCGCAGACAGAGCCTGGACAGTGGGCCAGAGCCAGCTGGAAGCATGGCTAAGGGGGGGAGGGGGCAGTGTCTGTTGGCTGGTTGTTTGGCTGGTTATTTGGCTGGCTGGTTGGTTGTTTGGTTTTTTTTTTTTGTTATTTGTTTGGTTGGCTGACTGGTTGTTTGTTGGGATGGTTGGTGGATGGTGGTTGTTGTGAGATAAGGTCTCACAATGGAGCCCAGGCTGGCTTTGAATTCAAGATCCTCCTGCCTTGCTCTGGGATTTCAGGTGTACACCATTAGTGACATCACATTGTTATTCTTTGGGGAGGGGAAGAAAAAGATTCACTAGTAGTACAGAAGGGGGAATGGAAGATAGCTCAGTGGTAGAGTGCTTGCCTCGCATGCATGAGGCCCTGGGTTCAATTTCTCAGCACCACATAAGCAGAAAAAGCTGGTAGTGGTGCTGCAGCTCAAGTGGTAGAGCACTTGCCTTGAGTTGAAGAGCTGAGGGACAGCGCCCAGGCCCAGAGTTCAGGCACCACCACTGACAAAAAAAAAAAAAAAGTACAGAACCTGGTGCCAGTGGCTTATGTTACTCAGGAGACTGAGATCCAAGGATCACAGTTCAAAGTCAGCCTGGGCAATAAAGTCCGTGAAACTCTTATCTCCAATAAACCACCAGAAAACTCCAAGTGGTGCTGTGGCTCAAGCCGTAGAGTGCTGGCCTTGAGCTGAAGAGCTGAGGGACAACGCCCAGGCCCAGAACCCAAGCCCCGCAACCAGAAACAACAACAACGAAACAAAAACATACAGTTTTGTGGTGAAGCTTCCTCTTGTGACCAGGGCAAGGCCTCTGAGCAAGCTCACCTCCTGGTATACACCCATCTCTCCCTCCACCTCTCCATCCGTACAGTGAGAGCCCAGGCCAGGGAGAGGGGGGGCAGGGAGGGGACCAGCGCCCACCTTATTCTCTAAATTCATCAGTCTGGACAAAACACCAATTGATTGATTGATTGATTCCACTGTAGAAGTTTCAGGAGACAGCCTTGGTGCAGCCCGGTCTCAGACAGTGTTACAGCAGCGCCATCTGGTGGTGGCTATGGGGAATCACAAGTGAACACACAGGGGGATGCCCAGACATGCTGGGAGTGCGGACCACAGGCAGTGAGCTCTCCGCCTCCCTTCCCCATTCCTTCCAACCTTTCCCCCCATTCCCTCCTCCCCTCCCTCCCACCCCATACTGAAGGAATAAGTGTGTCCACTGGAAGTGAGTATCAGCACGCATCCCTGTTGATTTATCTCATGACTCAAGGAAGAGTGTTGTGTGTGCATTTGCACTGACAAAAGGCCAGCGCTTGCTGAGCCCCGCATCCAGCCCTCAAGATAAAAAACTTAATCTAGTTCTATTTGTGCCTCTTTCCATACCTGTTAAAAAAACAATGTGATGTTAGGAAAACGAAACCTCAAATATGTATTTTAATGTTTTTGTTTCTTTCATGCATGTGTTTCTAACGCATTTATAATATTATCTCTTTGTTGCTTTGTATGTCCCTCCCCCACAGTGTAACCCCCGCTTTCACTATATTTGATGTCAGTATAACATGTGGAGGAGATGGGGACAAACAAGTCGTTTAAGGACTCAGGTGGACCTGTTGCAACAATGAGAAGTACAAAATGTCATGTCAAAACCAGCTTTACAATGTCGGGGGGGGGGGGGGGGGGGGGAGGGGTGGTATGATTGGGTGGGAGGGAGGGGGGAGGCTGGGAAGGGAGGTGAAGGGTAAACAAAGGAGGAGGCTGCAATGCTTGGTAAGAAATGTATGCATTATCCTGCCCATGTAATTGTAACCCCTCTGTACAGTATGTTCTCAAATAAAATTAAATTAAATTAAAAAAAAAAAAAAAAAAAAAAAAAAACCAATGAAAGGCCTGTAGGTTTCAATGGTATCAAGGTGTGCAGCTCATGTCAGTGGTACAAATGCGGCGATGGGTATCAGAGCCATTTGTGCTTGACACCCTATAGTGCTGGCGCCCAGGACACTGGGGCAGAAGGGCAGCCTCAGCTGTCCAAAAAAAAAAAGTAAAAGTCACATTGTTGCTGGGTGCCGATGGCTCACGCCTGTAATCCTAGGCTACTCAGGAGGCTGAGATCTCAAGATCATGGTTCAAAGCCAGCCAAGGCAGGAAAGTCTGTGAAACTCATCTCCAATTAACCACCAAAATAATCAGAAGTGGCGCTATGGCTCAAGTGGTAGAACACTCGCCTTGAGCTGAAGAGCTGAGTGACAGCATCCAGGCCCAGAGTTCAAGCCTCATGACTGACAAAAAAAAAAAAAAAAGTGCATTGTTTCCTTTTTTTTTTCCAATAGAGCCACAATGCTTCCCTGTCAATGTATTAGAATCAGAAAAAAAAAATCATGCAGCAATGGCAATAATTTTGGGCCCATTGAATTATACCCTAAGAATCAGGCATTGTTCTGACCGGAGCAGACTGATGAGAAACTCAAACAAATTGTAGTTTGACATTAAAGCAGCAATGGGGATGCTGGGCTTTGGATCCTGGAGGTCTGCACAGACAAGCTGGTCTGCACAGACAAGTGCTGTACACTTGCTTTCTTTCTCTTTTCTTTCTTTCTTCCTTTCATTGTTGTTGATGGTCATGGGGCTTGAACTCTGGGCCTGGGCACTGTCCCTCAGCTCTTCAGCTCAAGGCGAGCGCTCTATCACTTGAGCCACAGTGCCACTTCTGGTTTTCAGGTGGTTAACTGGAGATGAGTCTCATGAACTTTCCTGCCCAGGTTGGCTTTGAACTGAGATCCTCAGATCTCAGTCTCCTGAGTAGCTAGGATGACAGGCGTGAGCCACCTACATCCAGCACTTGATTTCTCTGTCTGTCTGTCTGTCTGTCTTTGTTGTGTGTAGCCAGGCTGGCCTGGGATTCAGGGCTCTCCTGCCTCTGCTCCCCTCATGCTGAGATGACAAGAATGTGTGGGTGAAATGTGATCATATGAATCACTTCCCCTGTCTCTTTCTAACAAGAAATTTAAAAAAAATGATTTAAGTAAGGATGCTCAAGCCAGGTGCTGGTGGCTCACACATATAATCCTAGCTAATCAGGAGTCTGAAATCTGAGGATCTCGGTTCAAAGGCAGCCCGGGCAGGTCCGTGAGACTCTTATCTCAGAACTACTCAGAAAAAACTGGAAGTAATTCTGTGCTCAAAGTTGTAGAGCTCTTGCCTTGAGCGAAAAGAGCTCAGGGACAGCGCCCAGGTCCAGAGTTCAAGCCTTATGATTGCCAAAAAAATTAAAATTAAATAAAAAATAAGTATGCTTAAAGTTGTAGGCTGAGCCAAGTCACAACTAGCCCCAGAACATACAAGATTTCTCTAGCAATAAATTGGAATAGAAGATGTGCCAGAAGCAGAGTTCAGTGAAAATGGATAAATCTTTGGATTGCTAATCTAATCTGCTTGATTGGGGTGGAGCTTTGTCAGGGCTTGGGGAAGAACCTAAATTTAATCTTTCACTACTGATGAGTTTTTTGTGGCTGAGATTGATTGGCCATTTTTCTTTTAAGAGCTCAGGCAACATAGGGTGGGACAAGGTGTTGGTGGTTTAAATAGGGCTGGGATTTGAATCTGCTCCGTACAGAGCCCAACAGTTCTCCCAAGCTGGTTTCCCTGGATTTTCACTCAAGTTCTTTGCAAGGGCATGAGTTTGAGTAAAAGGTAAATTTCTGTTTAATGTTTGTTTCACTGGAACTTTGCTGACTTTATCTGAAGTCATAATGTTAAGGAGCAGGCATTCTGTTTTTAGCATGCTTTGGGTTTGTTTGTTTGGGTTTGTACCAGTCCTAGGGCTTTGAGGCCTAAGACTTATACCTAAGCTTTTTCCCTCAATACTGGTACTCTACCACTTGAGCCACAGCTCCACACGTGGCTTTTTGGTGGTTTTGGTGGAGATAAACATCTCACAGATTTCCTGCGTGGGCTGGCATCAGATCCCAACCCCTAGATCTCAGCCTCCTCAGTAAGTTAGAATGACAGGCGTGAGGGCTGGAAAGGTGGCTCAGTGATAGAGCGCTTGCCTTGCATGCCTGAGGTCCTGGGTTCGAGTCCTCAGCACCACATAAGCAAAAAGAAAAAAAGCCAGAAGTGGTGCTGTGGCTTAAGTGGTAGAGCGCTAGCCTTGAGCTGAAGAGCTGAGGGACAGTGCCCAGGCCCAGAGTTCAGGCCCCACGACCGGACCCAAAAAATAAAAATAAAAAGAATGACAGGCGTGAGCTTTGGCAACTAGCTTATTATTGCTATTTTATTATATTGCTATTTTCACATATGCGTAAAATGTACTTCAATCAAATTCACCCGCTGGCTCCTGCCCCTCCAGCCAGACCCCTTTTTACAATCATTTCTTTTTTTGTGTGTTTTAAAAATATATATATATTTGGGAGGTCTACTCATGCGCTCTTTTCCTCTAGGTACCATCCATTTTATTTGTAGAGGAAGGACTCTTCCCATTATACGCAGTTCCGTCAAAAACCAGACAAGAATGCTGGGAAGATTACTTTGGAGACAGAGAAAATCGAGGATGAGATTGAATGGGCAGTTCACTGATCTGTAGAATCGGTGAGGATTTTTACCACTAATTAATGTTGAAAGTGTGGGCCTCAGACCCTGGAGAAAGACAAAGGCATTTGAATTTAACTTTGTGAAACCAAACCTCTTTTCTTCTTGATAGACTGTCAGTCACGGATGGAAGGCTGTGGAAGATGTCGCTGGAAAAGTCTCAGCAGAACAGATTTCAATCACCCAAGAAACCCCAAGAGACTAGAGGCACCAGGGCTGGTGACAAAACTCTCCATTACAAGTCAACCTATAGATCCCTGAGAGTCAGGAAAGGAAGTGAAACGCCTCTGAAAACAGCTTTGTTAACAACAAATCGATCCATGGCAACAAAAGACTGGTTGTTAGAACAGGAACGGGAGGAGGAGGAAGAAGATGAGGCACATGCATCTGGTCTAGAGGTTCAGGAAGACTTCCTGAGAGAAAACAACCCTGATCCAAATCAGAGATTCAAGACCTATCCCCAGGGGAACCTGAGTGGCAAGAGAAAGAAATTATTGAACTTAGATTACCTGAAAAAGGACAAAAATGTGAAACTTGGACCTTCACTCAGGACTACGTCTAACAGACACCCCAACCGAGATGAGATTTTCCCTTCCACCTTGTCTGCCATTGCTGGAAGGAATGTCCTATTTTCACCAGAATGGAAGCAAAGCCAGGACCACCCAAGATGGGGCACCACCCATGGGGCTCCCTTGGAGTCCCACCAGAGGGAACAAGGCGGGGGCTTCCCCAATTTGGGGAACACCTGCTACATGAATGCCATCCTGCAATCTCTGTTCGCAATCCCATCATTTGCTGAGGACTTACTCACACAAGACTCCTGGATGAAAATTCCCTTGGATGCTCTGATTAGGCCCTTGAGCCAGCTGCTTCTCTGGAAAGATCTTTCCGAGGTAGAGACCAAGGCAAAGTTACTTCTGAGTATTAAAAAGGCCATTTCGGCCACTTCCGAGATCTTCTCCAGCAACCTGCAGAATGACGCTCATGAATTTTTAGGCCAATGTTTAGAGCAGCTGAAGAAAGACAGTGAGGACATGAACAGGATTTGGAGCACAGAGAGGGAAATGGAGCGCAAAGACTCACCTGCGCTGAGGCACGCGGGGGATGCTGCCATCCCAGCTTCCTTTTGTCCCGTGGCTGCGAATTTTGAATTGGAACTGCAGGTTTCCATCACTTGCAAGGCCTGTGGTCAGATGACGCTCATGACAGAACGGAGTGATTATCTCTCCATCAACCTATGCCAGGAAGACACCCCTCTTCCTCCATCTGTCCAGAGCTTGCTGGATCTTTTCTTCAAGACCGAAGACGTGGAGCGCGTGTGTAAGGAGTGTGAGCACCCATGTGCTGTGCTGCGGTACAGGATTAGTCAGCTCCCCAGAGTCCTCATTGTTCACCTGAAACGCTACAGCCTGGATGACTGCTGGCAGCCAGTGAAGGACAGTCAAGGCATTCGGATTCCCAGGTATTTACACTTATCTCCTCACTGCACTGACAACCCTCGGCTGCCACAGGCCTTACGCAGACGGACTCCTGTGGGGGAGGACCAAGTCCCGGAAGTCCTTCAAGACTGGACTTGGGAGACCCCCAGCTGGCCCACAAGGTTGGCACCTAGCGGTCCCCTCGCTGTGCCTGTGGGACCTGAGGAGGAAGCTGAACAACAGCCATTCTGGACAACGGGTTTCAGAGGAGGAACAAGGCACCAGCAGGCACAGAGAGGCATTGGGGATGGTGATGCACTGGAGCCACAGCTGCGAGACTCCAGATCCAGGGTGCTAGAGGGAGAGCAGCTGCCGGCCCCCACCTCTACGGTAGACCAGGACGAGGTCTCGCCCTGTGTGATCTGTGAAGATGAAAGTGGGCCAGTTAGCATCCCACACCCACATCCCGGACATATGCAGCCTCTACCGGTGCCTGAAAACCCAGAACTTAAGAATTGTGAGGAAACCATCCTGCTTAGGGAGTTAGATCTTGATAGCATCGCTGAGTTATTGGAAGGGTCTTATGACCATAAGGAAAAGGAGAGTCTGGAAGAAGGTCAGAGAACAGCTGGCCAGTTCCACCAGGACGATCAGGAGAGAATGAATGAAGCACTGCTTCAGTGGGTGCTGGCTTGCCGGGGGGAGAGCCTGGAGACCGCAGACAAAGACCTGAGTGAGTTTTCAGAATTGAGACTACACAAGACTGACCTGGCTTCTGACAAGAATCCTGAAAAGAAAGACATTTCAGAAAGTGAGGAGAGCTCTGAGAGGGAGGCCGAGGGCCCCAACTCCTTGCAGACAGAAGCTCCTCTCCCAGCTTACCGTCTCATCAGCGCCGTCAGCCACCTGGGGGGCTCCCAGAACTCAGGCCACTACATCAGCGACGTCTACAACTTCAAGAGTCAGGCGTGGTTCACTTTCAGTGACCTGCAGGTGTCCAGAGTTCCCGAGGCCATAGTTCGGGAGGAGAGGCTGCATTGCGGGTACATCTTTTTTTACATGCACAACGAGATATTTGGAGCCCTGTTGGGAAGACAGCAGACCACAGCTGGCCACCCCTCTGGGGACTCCGAGGAAGGTGGGTTTTCACGGACAGCCCGAGCTCCCGCCTTCCAGATGAAGAAAACAGCAGCTCAGGGTGAAAAGGCTCAATGAAAACACTCAATGAGCTCATTCTCTCCTACAGTTAGATCAGAGGTCAGCTCATTCTCTCCTACGGTTAGAGCAAAGGTCAGCTTATTCTCTCCTACAATTAGAGTGAAAGTCTTAATGTTTGAATGGGGTAGGTTTGAAAATACAGTTCTTGATCACCAACCGGGCAGCGGCAAGAGACTGGTTAGAAATGCCAATGTTGGGATTCAACTCTAGAACAACTGGGAGACCCTACGATTTCTGCAAATGCCCCCATTCCAAAACTTGAGGACCTCTTCTTTAATGTGTGGGATATCTTGGTTTACTTTGGGAGTCCACACATGAATCACGTAGGTCCTGAAGCCAGATTAACCCACCCCTGTAATTCTATCTTTGTAAACTTATTAAAAAAAAAAAAAAAGCCAATCAACAAGGAAGCCCCCAGGTGAGCTCAGTGACGCCTTGTGGCTACAGGACCTAGCAAGGTGGGTTATTTTATCTTCTGTTCTGTGGGAAGTAGGAAGCCTTTTCATGTGGGTCCCCCACCATTCGGTGGGGTAAAATGTAATCGTCCGATCCTGATGCTGAATAACTGTGTCTCTTTTAAAAAAAAATTAAATTAAAAATCACATCACTGGTTGCCTTCTGCTTGTGTTTATGACTCATTATTGGCCAACTTCTCTGGCTAGAAAACCCATATATTATATATATGTATATATATGCACACATATACATATTATACATTATATGCATATATACGTATATATTTTATACATACAGATGTATGTATGCACATATGTATATAATGTATGCATATAAGCAAAGGTGGCCTCCAGTGGCCTACGAAAGTACACCAAATCCCCGGCCAGCCGGGCACCTGAGCTGCTCCGTGGGCGGACACCCGAGGACTAGGGTTCGAAGCCAGCCTGGGATGGAAGGTTCCTGGGAGTCTCATCTTCGGCGAACCACTCAGAAGAAAGCCGGCCCCAGGGGTAGAGCGCCAGGCTTGAGCACAAGCAGCGCCGGGCTGGCGCCTGGGCCCCGGGTTCGAGCCCCGGGACTGGCGTTGCATCCGCGCAAAGAACTTGAGGTAAAATCCAAGCGTGTCAAGTCCGGAGACGGGCCCGGCTTCGGGAGGGCGGCCGGGTTGGTCCCAGCGCCTGCGGACGTGCCCCCCGGACCAAGGTCGGTGGCGGCCCGGGGGCTCGCCCACAGCCCGACGCTCGGCCTCCAGTCATGGACACCCTGAAAACTACACTACCCAGAAGGCTGTGCTTTGCGCATGGGCGAGGAGCCAGGACCGCCACCGCCGGGTGGCGGGACTTCCGGGTTGTTCGCCGCCAGCCCCATTGATACCGGGACTGGGTCCGGATTTGGTGCCGGGACGGCGCTGAGGAGTGAAGCGGCCGGGGCCGGGGTCGGGGCCGGGGCCGGGGCCGGGGCCGGGGCCATGAGGGCGTGCGCGCGTCCTCCCGCGGGGACGACGGCGATGGCGGCGGCGCGCACGCAGGTGAGCTCGGCGGGCGCGGGGCGGCTCACGCCCGTAATCCCCGCCACTCGGGCTGAGCCGTAAGGGTGGCAGTTCGAAGCCAGCCCAGGCAGAAACGTCTGGGACCCGCCAAGCAGCGGACGCCAGTGGCAGCGCCCAGCCCTGTGCTCGGCCGATGACTGAATGAGGGAGCGGTGATTTCTTGAATACCCGGAGAGGCGGACGATCCCGACCGAGGAGGGAGACAGGGGCTTACGGCGGACCGAGGGGAGGCTCTGAGGGAGCCCTGGCTCCGCCAGCCGCTGAGATGAGCACAGAAGCCGGCGGATCTTTCCAGCCAGGCGTCCTGGTTCTAGGGCCTGCTATGATCCTTGAGCGCTAGGGCTCCCTGGCCGGGAAGGGCACTCTGCTGCAGGATCGAGGACAAATCTAGAGCTTGGGAAAAGGGTCCCCACGCCCCCTGAGCTATTTTCCGTGAGGTCTGTGGTGCAGGCAGCCTCTGCTTGCTCCAGCACAGGTACAGAAACACTTCGAGGTACAACAGAACGCACCTAACTTGATCGCACTATCGCTTCCCGCCCACCTCTCACAGTCTTTCTGTTCTTTGATTTCCTCTGATGACTCCTTGGGAAGGGTCTCTCCCTTCCCGACTATATGCCCAAAGCAGGGTCTCCTTGGTGTTTGAGTCCAGTGCAGAGCATAGACTACAGGATGTACTGAGGGACCCAAAGCTCTGGGACTTCTCTCAGCATTCTTTTCAGAAGGAACAGTAAGGATTGTGTCTCATTCAACAGTCCCAAGGTCAGCACTACTACTGTTTGACTTCGCAGGTGTCTGTGACCTTTGAGGATGTGGCTGTGACATTCACCCAGGAGGAGTGGGGGCAGCTGGACCCAGCTCAGAAGACCCTGTACCAGGAGGTGATGATGGAGACCTTTGGGCTCCTGGCCTCACTGGGTAAGGCCATCTCCCTTCATGGTGCGGTGAACCTGCCTCTTTCCCTTCCACCTTCTGCCCCAGGCTTGGCTGACCCAGGCCTCTGAGCTCAGCTTTACCCCTCACCTGTGGCTGCAGTCATTTCCTGTGTGCAGATCTCCCTGCTTCACACAGGTCAGGGCAGAGCATATGCTTTGTGTGCACTTATCTAATGCTAAGAAACTTTCTCCATCCAAACTGTGTGCATTCTGCTCTGTGCTCGAGGCATGCCAGATTCAACCTGTTCCCAGTCACCTCTAGCCTGTGAGCCTGTCCTGAGGGTGGCAGGCAGGTCCTCCTCACTAACGGGAAGTGCTCTGTCTTTGCATGACTCCTAGGCTACAGAGCCTGGCCTCTTTCTTTATGGCCAGAAGGACTTTCTTCTTGAGACCTTTTCTGCCACCAGCTGCAAGCTCGGAATTTTCCAGAACTGTCCTCAGGCTTGCTGACTTGTTAAAATGACTCGCCTAACTCTCAAAGACCGGTTATACAGTCATGCTTATTACTGACAAAGGGTACAAATGCCAGGGATGGAATGTTCTGGTTCTATGACCTCAGGTTCGTATTCTGTCACCACCCCAGAGACTAACCAGAGCTGCCTGCCTGCCCGCCCTCTTGTCTGCTTTCCTGCCTGCGGGGTCAGGAGCTCCTCTGAAGCTCCCTCACTTGGGCCCAGGTGGTAGTTCTTCCTCTTGCAGCTCAATCTCCACTGCTGATGCGTTTTCCAGGTCTAGGTGGTCAGCTGATAGATGTGGCTCAAGCCCCATCCCTCCTTTGCAGTCAGTGTATTCCAGGCCTGTTCATGCTAGGCATGATGACACTGAGCCGTATCTTCAGCCATTTTTATTTTGAGACAACATCTCACTGTGTGGTCCAGGCTGGCCACAGACTCGTGGTCCTTCTCTGGAGTGTTGGATTGCTGGTGTGCACCATCATGTCCAGCTTCAAGCCCTAATTACCTGGTTTGTTTTTCTTGTGTGGCCAGACATCTCCCTGAGTCAGCTCTTCAGGATAATACTTCGGGGTCCATGTTTATTCCTGACCTGCAGAACTTGCAATCCTAGCAACCTACTATGAATTTTAAAAGGAATCTGAAAGTTGTGGGAGGCGCTTCCCATGGAAGTATGATCATGACTCCCCCAAGGCAGCTAAGGTTTTCACTACATCCCATCATCCCTGTGGGCACTTGAAGGACACTTAGTGCGTGGGTCATTCAAACTCTGCCCAGCCTGGCAATCTGTCATTGTGAGGCAGCCCTATGACCTTCCTGTGCTGACCTTGCCCCAGGGTGGCCCTGTCATAGCCTCTGGAGGCCAAGGACCAGAAAAAAGGCAAGGTGCCAGGCTGACATTCTGAGATCACATGGAGGTACGGTTTCCAGCTTCACTTTTTTGTTTTTGTTTTTGTCAGTCCTGGGGCTTGAACTCTGGGCGCTGTCCCTCAGCTTTTCAGCTCAAGGCAAGGGCTCTACCACTTGAGTCACAGCCCCACTTCTGGATTTCTGAGTGGTTTATTGGAGATAAGAGTCTCACGGACTTTGCTGCCCCAGCTGGCTTTGAACCGCAATCCTGAGATCTCAGCCTCCTGAGTAGCTAGGATTACAGGCGTGAGCTACCAGCGCCTGGCTTTTCAGCTTCAATTTTGAAATGACAATCATGTTTCTTCTGTGCTAGTTTCTTTCAGGTGAGCATGCAGAAACAACAGCCACAGAGCCAACCCCTTGCCCGCCAGCCGCACAGGAGGGAGCCCTGGGGGCCTCGTGGGTAGCACAAGCTGGGGGCTAGGGCAGTCCATCTGGAGTGTGGGAAAGGCCCTTGAAACCAGGGTCAGAGGCCCAGATGGAGAAAAAGCCCAGGAAAAGGAGCCCCAGACAGGACGAGGCAGGGACAGGTGAGGACGTGTGTCCAGGGACTGTCCAGAAGGAGAATGCCTTCAAGTACAGTGGGTGTAGGAAAGTGTTTAACAAGAAACCTCTCCTTGTTGGACATGAAAAAATCCACTCTGGAGTGAAGCCGTACGAGTGCACAGAATGTGGGAAGACGTTTATCAAGAGCACACACCTTCTGCAGCACCAGATGATCCACTCCAGGGAGAGGCCCTGAGTGTGGGGAATTCAGGAAAGCCTTCAACCACAAGTCGTACCTCACCCAGCACCAGTGCATCCACAGTGGGGAGAAGCCCTACAAGTGTGGGGAATTTGGGAAGGCCTTCACCCACTGCTCCAACTTTTTCCTGCACAGCCGGCGGCACAGTGGAGAGAAGTCTTTCCTGTGCACAGAGTGCAAACAGGTGTTTCAACACTGGGGAGGGTTCCTGAGACACTACGTGGTCCATGGTGTCCCTACGAGTGCTTTGTGTGGGGGAAGGTCTTCAAGCACAGGTCATACCTCATGTGGCACTAGCAGACGCACACGGGGGAGAAGTCCTTCGAGTGCAGCGAGTGCGGGAAGGTGTTTTGTGAAAGCGCCACCCTGATCCACCACTATGTCATCCACACGGGAGAGAAGCCCTTTGAGTGTCTCCAGTGCGGGAAGGCCTTCAACCACAGGTCCTACCTCAAGAGGCACCAGCGCATCCACACTGGCGAGAAGCCTTATGTGTGCAGTGAGTGTGGAAAAGCCTTCACCCACTGCTCCACCTTCATCCTGCACAAAAGGGCCCACACTGGAGAAAAGCCTTTTGCATGCAAGGAATGTGGGAAAGCCTTCAGCAATAGGGCGGACCTGATCCGGCACTTCAGCATCCACTCTGGGGAGAAGCCCTATGAGTGCATGGAGTGCGGGAAGGCCTTCAACCAAAGGTCGGGCCTCACGCAGCACAAGCGGATCCACAGTGGGGAGAAGTCCTATGAGTGTATCGAGTGTGGGAAGTCATTCTGCTGGAGTACAAACCTCATCTGACATGCCATCATCCACACCGGGGAGAAGCCCTATCAGTGCAGTGAATGCGGCAAGGCCTTCAGCTGCAGCTCCTCCCTCTGTCAGCACCAAAAGAAACACAGAGGGAGAAAGCCCGCCAGCAAGGCAGGCAGTGGGAGGACTTTCATGAGCATACATGCCTCGGTGACCCTCCGGGAACTCCTGGTGGGGAGAGGCTTTGTGAACGGACCCACTGGGGAAAGATTGCCAAAAGGAACATCTTCCTTGGCATCTGGTCATGCATGCCAAAGAGAAAGTCCACAAGTGTCTCCCCTATGAGGAATCTTCAGTGACAGTCTTTCTTGTCATCTAAAGACATCTAAAAACCAACTTGGCATAGAGCATTATTCTCCATCTGAGACTTTATCTAATTGATGCTCAGGGGTTTTGATCACATAGAAAAATGTCTTTAGCTACGTCTCTCTTCTAGTTTACAGTGCAGTTATCTCAGGAATTGTTTTTAAAAGGAGAGGTAGAAAATGCAGTGCAAGCCCAGGTCTCGGGGGAGCAGTCTGCCCAGACTTCGGCCCTCTGTCTGACTCGCTGGTATCAGAGGTGAAGGCCTTGGCCTTGCTTTGTCTTAGGTGTGTGTACGCTCGTTGCTGCCCGGTGTCAGGAGTGAGACACTCCAGTAGGCTGCAGGTGTCTTACTCATACTTACTGTGTTCTGCAGTAGCTTATTAGGGGGCTTGAGCCATGAAATGCTTTTATGTTTAAAGCAATAATGCACATTTGAATGAACATATTTTATTGTACTGTTATGATCATTTAAGGCTTGAATTCTAAAAGAAGCAAACTTTTGTGTGGTTTTAAAAACCAACCAAAGCTGTTATGTTGACTTGTAATCCAACCTTTGGATAGCAGAGAAGGAAAGAGCTACAGTTCTGTGCCAGCCTGGACTACAAAGCTAGACCTAGACTCAAAACAAAAGAGAGAAACGCTTGTTCTTGGCCTTCTGTTTGACTGCTGTAGCTGTGTGCTAAGTCTTCTCACTGTATACCTCTGTTATTTAAAACTGATGTAGCATTTCTAGTTCCTTCCAGCACTGTTGGGCATTTTTTTATCAGTTCTCTTGACTCTCCGTCTGCTTCCCTAACCCTCCTCCCTGTTTCATCCCACTTTTCCCCCACTCCCTTTTTGTGTGAGAGACAAAGTCTCCCCATGTCCCAGGCTGTTCCTCCGCTCCAGGGCTCACCTGTGAGCAGCTGGTGCTCACAACCACCTATTCCACTGTACCTGGCTGTATTCTCTGGTCTTTGTCAGTATTTATCCTTTTTTATTGTTGTTGTTCATTTCAAACTCATTAGCACGTACATTAGTTTAGGGTTGTTGTGTGTTTTTCCTTCTGTGTTTATTTTTTGGGGCAGTACTAGGGTTTGAACCCAAGACCTCAGCTTTTCTAGGCAGGTGCTCTACAAATGAGCCGCTCCTCCAGCCCTTCCGTGCACTGGTTATTTTGTCTCTGGCCTGCTGTTCAAACTTCCTGTCAATAAAATTGAGTGAGTTCAAATTTCAGTAACAGACATTAAACAAATACTGTTTCCTTAAAAAGTCAGGGTTGGAAGCATGGCTCAATGGGTAGAGTGCTAGCCAGTGAGAGAAAGCAGCAGGTACCAAGTTAAGAGTTCTGTCTTGGACCTAAAATAAAAGTCATAATTTCAAGGTGATGACCTATGAAAGTGTAACCACTGTAATTCTGTGATGACGAGGACCGTAGAGGTGGGGCACGAGAAAGACCTTGTCTGCCGTGTGTGTGTGTGTGTGTGTGTGTGTGTGTGTGTGTGTGTGTGTGTGTGTGAAGTCTTATATTTCTGCAGGATCAAGTACATGGCTGAAAGCGGTCTGGTTTGGAGATGCTATTTTTATTGCACTTTTCTGTATGACACAATGTCTAGATCTATGAGAGAGAGGTCTATGGTGTGTATGGAATGTAAACAGTTTCCCAACTTTCATTGCTGCTATCTGAGCTGTATTCGTTGGCCTCATTGGAGAGAGAGCAACAGGATACTGGCTTGAGTATTCCTGTGTCATTAAATGCAGAAAGTTCAAGAGTGTGACTGCAGTCCTGGTGTGTCTTTCTTTTTCTGGTGAGAGCAGTAGCTGGCCCCAGCTGAGAGGCGGGACTCCCATGGGTGTGAGGGTGGCCTTGTCTGGCGCAGTGGCAGAAAAGAGGCTGCTTCCTGGAATGCTCCGTGGTTTAGTTTTAAAGGCCAAGGATGTTTAATCTGGGCTGGTGATGCAGCCCAGTGGTTGAGTGCACCTGCCGGTGCACTGACTTTAGAGTTGGGATGGCCAGGGTGGCTCTGTGGCAGAATGTGCCCACCTAGGTGATGCGGGGCGCCGGGCCCCATCCTGGCTCCATCCGAACAAAGTTCCTGTGCACTGCTTGGAAGCCCGAGTACTAACCTTTGTCTCTGCATCTCCGGCCCCAGAGGTCCAGCTTGCGCCAGCGCCAGGCAATTCCAAGATGCCCAGGCTCCTCACAGCTGTCTGTCCTTACAGGTTCTGTGTGACCTCCCTCCAAAGGCCCTGCAGCCCTGGGGCCCAGGGGGCCCAGCGTGGCCCACGAGGCCTCCTGAGCCTGCTTAGTACTGGTACGGCCTTGGGGGTCCGGGAGACTTGGCCCCTTTCCCTGCGTGTCCTGGGCCTCACCAACCTTCCTGTCCGAGCCCTTGATACCCTTGATACCCTGCGCCATCTTCTGGTCCCTGTGAACGAGACACGAAGCCAGGTGGGCGCCGTGGACCACACCACCCAGTGCAAGCCGGTGCCCATGCTGGAGTGCCACGCCTACTCCAGTGGAGTCTGCTTAGCATGGGAAACCTGCTTTCAGACCTGAGAATGGGGCTTCAAAGAGACCTATCTCTGAGAATGGGACTTTACCGAAGTCTACCTCAGAGAATGGGGCTTCAAAGAGACCTATCTCTGAGAATGGGACTTCAAAGAAGTCTACCTCAGAGAATGGGGCTTCCAAGAGGCCTACCTCCTGGAAAGGCTGGCAAACCCCTGGGAAAGATGTGTTTCTGTTCTTGTTTTTCTTTTCTTCACTGTATAAGAGTGCCTGTTAATCTTTTACTGTTCCTGCTGCTCATTGTACTTACTCATGCTCGACGTTCAGAGTGTTGACGACTCCAATATCTGATGAGTGTCTTAAAAATATGACTAACTTACCAGAGTTAAGTGCTACCCTGAAAGCCCCTCTTATGGAGGCTAGTAGACAAGTCATAAGTAAACATAAAAGTATTGGGGGTTTCACGATGTCACTTCAGCAGAAGGAATTGTTTGTAAGAGATTTACAAGAAGCTGTAGGCGTGGCTAGAACAGAAAGAATGTATGGCAATTGCTGAGATAACTACTTTGGAGAAAGAACTTCCTGTTACTCTCTTTATTTACTAAGAGACTTGCTAGATCTAGGCCTCCTTGGTGCTTACTATTAAAGAAGGAACAGGAAAGATCTTATGGGACAGTTAAGGCCTCTATAGAAAAAGGTAATGGTTAGTTGGAGACAAACATCGAAACCCATTGTATTTCTTAGAGATAAAAACAAGTGCCTATCAGGCGACCAGCTGGTGACCACCCAAGAATGAAGCCCTGCAGCAAGATTGTGTAACCTTTTGCCCTTTCTTATGGCGACTTTTGCTATAAAAGCTTGTTATCCTCTGCATTAAATCGCACTCTGCATCCACTCCTCTTGTGTGTGAGTTGTCTGTTTGCCATCTCCCCACCTATTCCAGTTCCTCCACTAGGTGTCCTCTGTCGTCCTGACAGAGCCGGTCCGAGGCACTGGAGGACTGACCGCCACCCCACCCTAGCCTGGCTGGGAATTCGGCCCGGATGCGGGGAGGCTGGGTGCGGAGTGTGCGTGGGATGCAGTGAGGACAGGCCTTGGGCTCCTCTGTGGGGACCTCCGCCGCCGCCCTGGGCAGAGGATCCCTGCTGCCACCCCTGGTTTCGGGGCTTGTGGCCCGCACTGGGGCTCCTCCCCACCGTCCTGGGGTTGATTGGTTTGCATGCGGACACGCAGGCACGCGGATAAGCTCGCGGCCCTCCGCCTGCCCACTCCTCTACAGTCCGTCCACCTGCTACCTTCTTTGATGCCCCCCACCCTAGTCCCACCATGAGGTCCCGCCTCGCCCCCTGGCGCCCCATTGGCCAGTCGCGGGAGGGGTGGGGCAGAAGCTGCTATCTTATTGGACACGCTGCAAAGGGAATCCGAAAACTTGACCAATGGAAATCACTCAGGAGCTGCCGGCCCCGCCCTATGAGCAGCAGCTCCTATACAAGTACCAAGGGACGGGTTCTCAGGTCTCTGCCCTTCCCCGAGGTCAGCCCCTTAGTCGCTGAGGTCGGTGGACATCGGCCGAGACAAGGGGATCGCCCCCTACCCCTTCCCAGGGCACAGGGACCCCAGGGCTGAGGGCCTCGGCCTCCCTCACCTGGGCTCTTCCTCCAGGCCCGTTAGCGCTGCGCACCTGGGCAGGAGGCAGGGCAGGGAGCCTTCAGACCCTGGTCAGCTCGGGGGGGCCTTGCTTCGTCTCCCTACCATGCCACCGAAACCCTGCCTTGCCCACCATCTCCGGGTGCGCTCCCCGCCTTCTCCAGGGGGGTTACCCCGTGTGTGTGGTGTTTCTCCCTTGCTCCCCTGACAGGCTTCAAGCTGGGCTGCTGGTCTCCAAGCCTCACATGGAGCCTGGCCTGCGGTCCCTGAAGCCTGACCCTCCCTGTTCCTCCTTCAGACACCCTGGACAACTACTTCCATGGCGCTTTGTGCGGGTACCTCGTTTGGAACATGCCCCCCGGGGTGAGCCGTACCAGGAGCTTCAACAAAGCCACACGTTTGACCAGCAGCTGACAGCCAGGGTGAGGGCCTGGGGTGATGACAGTGGAGGCTCTGGTTACCCAGCTGGCCTAGTGTATTTCTAATGTTCTGTTTCGGTGCTGGGACTTGAACCCAGGGCCTTGGGCAACAGAAGCAAGCGCTCTACCAAATGAGCAACAGTCCTAGCCCTTGGTTTTTGGATCTGTCCTTGAACTTGCAATCCTCCTGTCTCTGTCTCCAAGTGCTGGGGTTACTGGTGTGGCCACCAGACCTGGCCCTGAGTTTTATTCTGTAAATTTTGTATCATGACCCATTATACACCTGCACAGTGGGCAAATTGATTACCGCTAGTACTGCCTCAATACGAATACCTGTGTAAGTGGTTTATCTGGTTGCAGTTGCACTACCCTATCCAAAAAACAACAAAGCAGGCTGTCAGTGGCTCACGCCTGTAATGATAGCTATTCAGGAAGCTGAGATCTGAGGATCACTGTTCAAAGCTAGCCCCATCAATAAAGGCTGTGAGACTTATCTCCAATAAACTACTCAGAAATAGCTGAAAGTAGCGCTGTGGCTCAAGGGGTGGCAGGCTAGCCTTGAGCACAGTGAGGCTCAAGGACAGCACCCAGGCCCACAGGTCAAGCCCCAGGACCCGCAAAAGAAAAGAAAAAAGAAATGCATGTATTGAAAGATTTCTAGATGGCCCTGGAAAGGGAGCCACAGCAATGTTCATCCAACAGCCAAGGCTGGGTCATCCTGCTAATGGAATGAATGAAATTCCATATGACCTCCTGCTTCTCCATTATCCCCCCATATCAAGTCCTGCTTCTCCATCCCTCACATCACCTCCTGCTTCTCCATCATCCCCCCATATCACTTCCTGCTTCTTCATCTTCCCCCACGTCATATCCTGCTTCTCCATTATCCTCCCATGTCATCTGCTTCTCCATAATCCCCTCATATCTCCTCCTGCTTCTTCATCAGCCTCCCATATCATCTGCTTCTCCATCATTCCCTCATATCTCTTCCTGCTTCTCCATCATCCCCCCATGTCACCTCCTGCATCTCCATCATCCCCCACACCGTCACCTGCTTCTCCATCATCCTCCCACATCACCTCCTGCTTCTCTATCATCCCATGTCACCTGCTTCTCCATCATTCCTCATGTCACCTCCTGCTTCTCCATCATTCCCTCATATCACTTCCTGCTTCTCCATCATCCCCTCATATCTCCTCCTCCATTATCCTCCATGTTACCTGCTTCTCCATCATCCCCTCATATCTCCTCCTTCTCCATTATCCCCCATGTCACCTGCTTCTCCATCATTCCCTCATATCACCTCCTGTATCTCCATCATCCTCCTTGTCACCTGCTTCTTTATTATCCTCCATATCACCTGTCCTCCATCATTCCCTCATATCACCTCCTGCTTCTCCATTATCCCCTCATATCACCTGCTTCTCCAACATCCCCCCAGGTCACCTGCTTCTCCATCATTCCCTCATATCACCTCCTGCTTCTTCATTATCCCCCATGTCTCCTCCTGCTTCTCATCTCCCATATCACCTCCTGCTTCTCCATCATCCCCCCATCACCTCCTGCTTCTCCATCATCCCCCCATCACCTCCTGCTTCTCCATTATCCCCCACAAGTTTCCTTTGCTTCTTTATCATTCCCTCAGGATTAAGGTTTCTGGAAAGCCATTGGATCAGTGGACATTCTATATCTGGCTATTTTCTATGACTACTGGGGGAACCTGTCTGTTTTTACCTTCCATCCTATAAGATCATGTGAAGTGGGGAAAGGAAATCCCTGACAATAACTACGCTTGCTAGTAAAGAGGAGAGACTGAAGGGAGTAACCAAGAAATTAAATTCCACTGCAGTGGAACTGGAGACCACCAGGTTGCGAGAAACAAGCCAGACCAAGGAAGACAAATATCACATCTATTGTCTCATGAAGAATCTAGACCTAAACCAAAAAATGACATGAATGCAAAATGGTGTTTTCAGTTTTTGCTTTTTTGAGAGAAGGGAATCAGAGGGTGAGATGTATCAGAGGGGGGGTTTATCTGTTAAGATCCAGGTGTGTTGGGGCACGCTTGTAATCCCAGCCCTCAGGAGTTTGAAGGAGGATCATGAGTTTCAAAGCCAGCTTTGGATATATAACAAACCCTGTCTCAGAAAAACCCTGTCTCCCCCGCCAAAGAGGAATGCTCTGAAGTGACTCCACGCATGAGAACATTAACCAAAGTTAACAGAACTTCTTGTTCCCTGGCCTGGTGAGGTGAATGTGAGGTGTCCTCATCTATGCCTGCGGGGGCCCAGGACGCGACCTCTACTCTTCTTAGACACTAGCCCTCAGAGCTGCTGCCCCTGGGCCAGACCCTGCAGCATGGAACGGAGCCCATCCCGCTGAGTACTGCCTCCCTCTGCGTAGAAGACTTCGGAGCCACATCTCCCTCTGTACCGGCTCAAGGAGCTCACCCCTTCTGCCACCTCCTGTCCTGTGCTTTCTTTCAACATGCTGATTAGTAAAAACGGAATCATCTAGTTTCAGTCTTTTCTGATGGTGTGTGAGTTGGTGTATGGCAGTGCCTGAGGTTTGCATTCAGGGTGTCATGCTGGCCGGACAGGTGCTCTACCACTTGAGCCACTGATCAGACCTTTGTGTATATGCATGGGGGCGGGGAGGGGGAGTATTTTTGAGACAGGGTCTCACTTTATACCCAGGCCAGCTGGGATCCCATTCGTGCTTCCGCTGGTCGTTGGGATGACAGCACGTGCCTCTCTACTCAACAGCCATCGGCGGAGACGGAGTCTCGGGAACTAAGCTGTGCTGCTCATGGTTCTCCTTTCCTCCGCATCTGTGGGTCCGCGCTCGAGGCAGTGAGTCTCCGTCTGCCCGCCCCGCAAGCCCTCCGGTGCCCCGAGGACACGGGTCACAGACTTCCGGGATGTGCGACGGTGCAAGAACTACGCTACCCAGAAGGCATTGCGCGCGCGCCTCTGGCGCGTCGGACCGCGGGGTGCGGACGTCACTCCGGCGCGCCGGCTCTGTCCGCGCCGGCTGTGGGGCGCGCGGCGGGGTCTCCGTTCGCTTCTCGCCGGTCCGGTGCGCCAGGAGCGTGAGGAGAAGGGCGCTGTCCTCCGCTCCTCCGCGTTCCTTCCGGGCGCCGAGGCCACGCACCGGGGGACGGCGCCGGCGGGGCCCAGGATGGCAGGGATGCCGGCGCCCGCGGCCCGGGCCCAGGTGAGCGTGCGGGGCGGCGGGCGGCCGTGCGCGGCGGTGGGAGGCCCAGGACCTCGCGGGTCAGCAGAGCGCCCACCCGGCCGTCACCGCCCGGCGGCGCGGAGCGACCGGGCTCCCGGACGGAGGGCAGGCAGGCCGTGCTGAGAACCGGGCTTGGCGCTCCGCTCCGCGGCCACCCGCTTTTCTGCACAAAGACCCCCCCCAGAAGTGGTGCGGTAAGGCCGGTCTCTCCTCGCGGTGCCAAGCAGGGAACTGAACAAGAACTCCGGCGACAGCCTGCCCGTCGGCCGCCGCGGTGGTAACAATTTACTTCGAGTGAGGGCCCACCGCGCCCTCCCCGCCCTCCCCATCCCGGGCCGTCCCGGGCCGGAGCCCTGCAGTGAGGCCTCCCGCAGCTTCTCCGCCTTGCAGCCCCACGCTAGGATTGATGGAGGTTGCGTGCTGAGGGTCCTGGTCACAGCCATAATCTGGACTTTGAGCCAAGCCAAGGCCTGCACTAGTCTGCCTTGGCCGATCTCAGACCTTCTCCTTTCCCGTTTCTCCGACTCAGGAGATTAGACCCACAGACCACGCCGAGTTTTCTTCCTCTGTCAGACATTGCCCTTGTATTTCGCTCTGTCTCGACAAAGTCGAGTCAAAGCTGGGTAAATTTGACTGGGAAGGTGGCTCAGTGGTAGAGTGCTCACCCAGCGTGCACGAAACCTTGGGTTCGGTTCCTCAGTACCACATACACAGAAAAAGTCGGAAGTGGCACTGTGGCTCTGGGGTAAAGTGCTAGCTTGAGCAAAGGAAGCTCAGGGACAGGACCCCGGCCTGAGTTCAAGCCCCAGGACTTATCCAAATAATAACTTTAAAAAGCTGGGTGAGTTTGTGGAGGTCCCTTACCCTCAAGTCAGTGACCCCTGGAAGGAGTTGATGAGGTGTGTGCCTCAGAACCTGCAAGAGGAGTAACAATTCCTGAAGCCCACCAAGTGTGGAGTATTTTCTCTTCAAATATAATGGCTGGTTTTTTTTTTTTTTGTTTTTTTAATGAAATGAGAGTTAATGTTGATCTGGACATTACGGCTTAGAGATGGAGTGAAGATCCTAAGGCTGTGTGACTGGCAGGTGCCACTTGCGGTAGCTTTTGGATTCTAGTGACCAGGGACTTGACTTCAGAGCTGGAGACTACTAGTCACTTTAACACAGAATGTTACCTTCTCAGGCGCCTCGCTGAACCAGTAAGGCTCAGGCTGCATGGGACAGACACCTCACCAAAGTGGTGTGGCTCGGGTAGTGCTGTTATCAATGTCATTGGTGTCATTGTCAGTGTTGTGATCATTTTCTGATTCCTGTAACATCAGAGAACCTTATTGTCTCCCCACCAGTCCATAAGTTGTTTCTATTGTCTGCCATTTTCTCAAAACTTCTTTCAGTACCATATGAAGGACAAGGTAGCTTTCTCCTTCCCCCTGGAGCCCAGCCCACAGCTTGGGCTGTGTGATTCATCTCTTTCTGTCTTTTTGGGTAAAGTATATATGACAGCCCATGTAATCACCCAAGGCCAGTACTAACACTTGTTGACTTTGCAGGTGTCTGTGACCTTTGAGGATGTGGCCGTGACATTCACCCAGGAGGAGTGGGGGCAGCTGGACCCAGATCAGAAGACCCTGTACCAGGAGGTGATGATGGAGATCTTTGGGCTCCTGGCCTCACTGGGTAAGGCCATCTCCCTTCACAATGCTGTGAACCTGCCTCTTCCCTTCCACCTCTGCCCCAGGCTCGGCTGACCCAGGCCTCTGAGCTCAGCTTTACCCCTACAGGCTCACACCTGTAATCCTAGCTACTCAGGAGGCTGAGTTCTGAGGATCGCAGTTCAAAAGCCAGCCCAGGCAGGAAAGTCTGTGAGACTCTTATCTCCTGTTAACCACCAGGAGTGGAACTATGGCTTGAAATGGTAGCCTTTAGGGAAAGAGCTCAGGGATAGTGGCCAGGCCCCGGGTTCAAGCCCCAGGACTGACAAAAAAGAAAAAAGAAACAGTACCATTAGGCTTCCAGCATAAAATTAAGTATATAGCGGCAGGAAATAGGTGTTTGCAAAACTCAGAGGCAGGATTTCCAGCCAGGCCCTATAAGCACTGATGGAAAAATTGAACTACCACAGTTGAGTCCCAGTGGAGACTTAGGGTCGTCATCTCTCAACAGCAGCCGTCGTTTTTCTCACTGAACAGGGCATCCTGTTTCTAAGCCTGCGCTGATGGACCAACTGACCCATGGGCAAGAGCTGTGGACGGTGACACGGGGCCTCTCCAAAAGCACCTGTCCAGGTAAGTGTCTAGATCTTACAGGTGTGAGACTTAAGAGACCACTGGCCCTGGAACCCCCAGGAGACCTCTTGCTGTGACCTTGCTGGGGATTGTGGAGACATGGGAGCCCTTTGACCTGAGGCTCCTCTGCTCTCCAACCCTTCATACTTGTCACAGTCTCTAGGAAGTCTGCTTCATTGAACTCCGAACTAACTGCTATATCAAACTCTAAAGTCTCAGTGACTCATTATGTGTAAATGTTCTTCTCATTGGTGCAGAGAGGCCTGTGTGGGTCAGCTGAAAGCGCTGTACCAAAGGTTTGGTAGGTATCACACCCTGCTGAATTCTGTCTCCAACCTGTAATTGATCAGGAGGTTTGGTTGGTATCTGTGGCTCAGAGCCTGGTGATTTACTTATTCACTGGGTTTTCTTGTTCAGCCAGCTCTTGGTTAAGGTCTTTGGAACACACAATCTAGGTGGTTCCAAATCAGCTATGTGAAGGTAAATGGGTTTCCTGTGATTGATCCAGAATTGAAGATAGGCATGTCTCTGTTGAAGACCCTCTGTCCCCTTGTCTACCCTCCCCACTAGGAGAGGAGTAGAGTCAAGTATTCAACTCCAGAAACAAAAACCAAAAAAAAAAAAAAAGGAATTTCAAACCTGAGGCTTACCAAACATAAAGTCAAAGCTTCCAGCATCATTTTTTCCACTGCTGTGGGCATGTTGTTCTGTGTTCTCATTGCCGACTGTCCCTGTTACATTGAATGTGTTTCAGAAACCAAGGCCACGGAACGTACGACCTGTGAGACAGCTGTGCGTGAGGGAGTCTCGTGCCGGGGAGTGTTGGCACAAGTTACAGGTCAGGAAGGCTCATCAGAATGGCAGGAAGGGCTCTTGAGTGCAGGATCAAATGCTCTGAATGCTCAGAGGGAAGAGCTCCCTGGGAACGTGAGCCTTGGATGGGATGGCTTCAGGGAGGCTCAGGACGTGTGTTCCACCGTGGTCCCGGGACAGATCCCTCCGCAAGATGCTCTTCATGACTGTGACCCTGCTGGGTCAGACAAGGACCCCATGGCTCAGGAGGAAGAAAATCCCTTTAAGTGCAGTGCGTGTGGGAAAGGGTTCAACAAGAAACGTCTTCTTGCTCGACATGAGAGGATCCACTCTGGAGTAAAGCCGTACGAGTGCACAGAGTGTGGCAAGGCCTTCAGCAAGAGCACGTACCTCCTGCAGCACCACAGGGTCCACACAGGGGAGAGGCCCTACCAGTGCGGAGAGTGCGGGAAGGCCTTCAACCGCAAGTCCCACCTCACCCAGCACCAGCGCATCCACAGTGGGGAGAAGCCCTACAAGTGTGGGGAGTGCGGGAAGGCCTTCACCCACCGCTCCACCTTCGTCCTGCACAACAGGAGCCACACTGGAGAAAAACCATTTGTGTGCAAAGAATGCGGGAAAGCCTTTCGAGATAGACCGGGTTTCATTCGACACTACATCATCCACAGCGGGGAGAATCCCTATGAGTGTTTTGAGTGTGGGAAGTTCTTCAAGCACAGGTCATACCTCATGTGGCACCAGCAGACGCACACGGGGGAGAAGCCCTTCGAGTGCAGCGAGTGCGGGAAGGTGTTTTGTGAAAGCGCCGCCCTGATCCACCACTATGTCATCCACACGGGAGAGAAGCCCTTTGAGTGTCTCCAGTGCGGGAAGGCCTTCAACCACAGGTCCTACCTCAAGAGGCACCAGCGCATCCACACTGGCGAGAAGCCTTATGTGTGCAGTGAGTGTGGAAAAGCCTTCACCCACTGCTCCACCTTCATCCTGCACAAAAGGGCCCACACTGGAGAAAAGCCTTTTGCATGCAAGGAATGTGGGAAAGCCTTCAGCAATAGGGCGGACCTGATCCGGCACTTCAGCATCCACTCTGGGGAGAAGCCCTATGAGTGCATGGAGTGTGGGAAGGCCTTCAACCGAAGGTCAGGCCTTACGAGGCACAAGCGGATCCACAGTGGGGAGAAGCCCTATGAGTGTATTGAGTGTGGAAAGTCGTTTTGCTGGAGCACAAACCTCATCCGACACGCTGTCATCCACACGGGGGAGAAGCCCTATGAGTGCGGCCAGTGTGGCAAGGCCTTCAGCCGCAGCTCCTCCCTCTGTCAGCACCAAAAGAAGCACAGAGGGAGAAACCCCGCCAACGTGGCAGGTGGCGGGAGGACTTTCACGAGCGGTCAGACCTCTGTTGATATCCAGGAACTTCTGCTGAGGAATGACTTCTTGAATGTCTCCGTGGAGGGAAATCATTTACAGGCAACTGATCATTTATACCAAAGAGAAACCCCTGTCACAGAGTCATGTACCTGAAGACTGCCTCGAGAAACTCACCCACCCAGCTCAGAGCATTCTCTGTGCAAGACTTCATCCAGGGGTTTGTGCACTTGGGAAACCTTCAGCCACATCTCTCCTACTTCACAGTGCAGTGTTCTCTCAGGAATTTTTATACAGGGGAGGCGATAGAGAAGAAAATCCAGCTCTGCTTTCATATGGCCCCCTCTGGTCTCTGGCCCTGGTCCTCGGAGTTCCTCGGTTATTTAGGTGGAGAGGATTGTGGTTCAGGAGGTGAGGACACAGGCATGTGTGTCTTGTGTGCACATTGCTGTTCACTGTCAAGGGTCAGACATGGAGGCTGGAATGGAGACTTGCCATGTTTTTCTTCTACAGCATTGAGCCTATTCTCATGGAGCACATGTTCTTGTGAGAGATATGAAGTTTTGCTTTATGAACTACTTTTATACTCATTGCGTGCACGAGCGAGTGTGTGTGTTTATGTGTGTGTGGTGCTGGGAATTGAACTACCACCTTGAGCATGTTAAATAGGAGCATGCTAAGCATGTACTAAGCACTCCCTCTCTAAGGACTGAGGAGTAGATGGGCACATTGTAACCTACTGTTTAAGGCTTGTTTTAAGTGTTTGACTTGCGTGGTTTTAATAACACTCTGATTTTTATCTTGGTCTGTTTACTTAATCGTAACTGTCGTAAATCTTCACATGGGGTAAAGTGGTTCTTTCCATTACTATTTTAAATTGACCTTGTACCCTTTTTTTTTTTTCTTCTTTTGCCTTCTTTATATGCTTAGGATTGTTTTGTTTTTATAATGAAATCTTGCTCAGATTTGATAGAAACAAATCTATAGATCAGATTTGAATTGGCATCTTTATTGTGTCCAGGCTCAGTTTATGAATATGGTGTGCCATTTAAATATTCTTTGACTTATTACTATTTTGTGGTTGACAACATATGGGGCCTGTATGCTTTTTGGCAGTACTGAGGTTTGAACTCAGGGCCTTGTGATGATTAGCATTTTTGAAAAGATCTGTGTCATCTTTCATAATTATATATGGCATTAATATTCAAGCTGCAACTGTCCACATGGCATTTGGTGTAGTATATAGAATTTATCATGTTTGAGACTATTGTTTTGATAGCCTACAACTGCTACACTCAACATTTCCATTGTTTTTATAAAAAATTGAATTTACAATATTTGGAACTATTGTTTTGATATCCTGCAACTGCTAAACTCAGCATTTCCAGTGTTTTTTTTTTAAATTTTGAGAATGCTTAGGATTTTAAAGAGAAGTGTTGTCTATAACACTTATTTCTTATTTGTGTTACAGAGCCAGGCAGGATTTCCACCATGGGGGTGAGCAGGACTAGAAAGAACTTAGCCTTACTTGTTTCCTGGTATCCCATGTTGTTTCTCCTAAGTATGTTGTTAGATATATTTGATTTTTTTTTTTTTGGTTGGTTGTGGGACTTGAACCCAGGGCCTGGGCACTGCCTCTTGGGCTGTTTTACTCAAGGCTACTGCTCTACCTGTTGAAATTTGTCAGATGCTTGTGATCGGTTGTGATCATGATGTATTTCTACCATAGACCGTCGGTATGGTACACTATTCTAGGTTCTTAATATTGAACAAGACTTGCATTCTTGAATAATCCCCATTTGGTCATGGAGTATGGTTATGTTTGTGCATTAGGTTATTCCATTTGCTACTCTTTTATTGAGACTCCCCTAACTATGTGAGTGAAAATAATAATATGCAGCTTTTTCTTTTTAGGGACCCCATTGGTGTCAAATTATTTCTGAGGCAATACTAGTGCCCTCTCCTGCCAGTTGGGCAGGGTGCTTTTCTCCTCATGCGTATTTGTTCTTATAATGTTGGTAGCATTCTCCAGTGAAGCACATGGGGCTGGAAGATGTTTAATTGTGTATTTATTTTATTTAAACATAGAGAACTATTGTGTGTTTCATATTGAATGAACTTTTATGGTTTTATGCAAACTTCTAATTTGTTTGAAGTGTATTCCCTTATTATCCTTTGGATAATAGCAGGATCTATACTGTGTGCTGCTTCATTCCTAATAACAGAAGTTTATCCATTCATCTCTGATCTTTGTAATCTTAGACCTGTATCCATTTTTCTTGGTCATATCAATTAATCAGCACTTTGTAATAGCGTTTTTGTTTTTTCTCTACTTCCAATTTCACTGATTTCTCTGAAGTACATTATAACCTGTGTTTTATTTGCTTAGTATCTGGTTCTGAGTAATTTCTTGAGGTGGATGTTTATAGATTATTGCTTTTAGGCTTTTTCCTTTTTCTTTTTCCATTGGTCCTGCAGCTTGAACTCAGGGCTTGGGTGCTATTCTTGAGCTCTTTTTGCTCAAGACTAGCGCTCTACCACTCTGAGCCACAGCACCACTTCCAGTTTTGGAATGGTTAATTAGAGATAAGAGTCTCATGGGAGACTTTACTGCCCATGCTGGCTTTGAACCACCATCCTCAGATTTCAGCCTCCTGTGTAGCTAGGATTACAGGCATGAGCCACTGGCACCCAGCTGAAGTTCACGCCTTCTAAACCCAAATGTATCCTTCACTGGGAGTAATGCCTTTCCACTTGTGAAAGGTCTGCCATTGGTATAGCCATATCATTCTTTTTCTTCTAGAAGCACCTTTATGTTTCTTTCCTGAAGGCTGTTTTTGTGTGGTGCAGGATTCGGGGAGGGCAGATCTCTTCTTTTAGTACTAATGTCTATTCCTTCTGCTCACCACTATTTCTGATGAGTTTATTTGAACTTGTAATGTTTATAGAGTCTGGGAATTGTATGGTGCACACCTGTAATCACAGCTATTCGAGAAGTAAAGATTAGGAGTCAGCCCAGGTTTTTTGTGAGCAAGATCCCCATCTCATTCAGGACGGGTATGGTGGTATGCACCTGTCATTTCAGCTGTGAGACAGGCATATGTTGACTGAGGCTAGCCCCAGGTTAAAATTCTTTTTTTTGGGGGGGGGGGGTCCGGTCATGGGGCCTGAACTCTGGGCCTGGGCAGTGCTGTCCCTCATGTCTTCAGCTCAAGGCTAGCTCTCTACCACTTGAGCCACAGCGCCACTTCCAGCTTTTTTTTCTTTTTGCTTATGTGGTGCTGAGGAATCGAACCCAGGGCCTCATGAATGCAAGGCAAGCACTCTACTACTGAGCCACCTTCCCAGCCCCCCCCAGATTAAAATTCAATACCTTGCCTGAAAAAAAAATAAAGGCTTAAGTGGAGTATCTGCCTAACAGCAAGTCTGAGGCCCTCCCTGTGTAAAGACAATAGTATACCACAATAAAGTGTGTGCAGACTTACTCTCACAGATTTGTGTTTTTCACTTGGAAGCAGTGGGTGCAGTCGTCCCCACTAGCTGAAGCGGTCTACAGAAACATGCTGAGTGAGACCTAGGGGAACCTGATCTGGTATGAACCCAGCCCACCTTGCATTCAGACTCCAGCCCACAGATGGCCTCTCCTTGGTAGAAATCTGGTCTCTGTCTCCAGTGCTTGGGGATGGGGTACTTTGCTTTTCAAAAACTTAAATGTTCACAGAATTTTTTTTAATGTTTGTTACAAGCAAAAGCTCTGTTTATTTGCCCGTTTCACAAATGAACAGTCTCAGCTAAATGGACAGTTTGTTTTGTCTCTTTTGGATGGATAGTGAGCAGGGACCTGACCTGCATGTTATCTTCATGCTCTGTGCCTTTGCTCTGACTTATTACTGGATAATATGATGGCAATCTGTATCTACTTGCTCTCCACTCAATTTAGAGATCCAGCTTTCATTTTTTGATTTTTTTTTTTTGGGGGGGGGGTCTGGTCATGGGTCCTGAACTCTGGGCCTGGGCGCTGTCCCTCAGCTCTTCAGCTCAAGGCTAGTGCGCTACCACTTGAGCCACAGCACCACTTCCGGCTTTTTTTCCCTGCTTATGTGGTGCTGAGGAATCAAGCCCAGGGCCTCATGCATGCAAGCATGCTACCACTGAGCCACCTTCCCAGCCCCTTTTTGATGTTTTTAATATCCAGATTCCCTGAGAAAAAATGTGTGGCATTTATCTGTGTTGGGCTTATTTTTCATTTTTTTTTTTGCCAGGCCTGGGGCTTGAACCCTGGGCCTGGGCGCTGTCCCTGAGCTTCTTTCTGCTCAAGTCAAAAAAAAAGAAAAGAAAAAAAGCACCTGAGCCATGGCACCACTTCTGGCTTTTTCTCATTTATTGGAGAAGAGAGTCTTACGGACTTTCCTGCCTGGGCTGGCTTCCAAGCGTGATCCTCAGGTCTCGGCCTCCAGAGGTAGCCAGGATTTCAAGCCTGAGGCACAGGCGCCTCCACGTTACTACAGATGACCGGCGGTTGTTCTTCATGGTCGTGCAGGATAGAGCCGCGTGGTGTCGATAGGCTGGGAGTAGTCTGTGGCTGGGTACCAGGGTGACATGACAGCCGGGTCGCGGTGCCACGGGGCCCGCCCGAGGGGCTCGCCGCCCCTGGCGCTGCTCCTGCCGTTCATTTCGGGGTCCGCCGCCTTCGTTCCCTTGACACCGCCCTGACCGGCCGCGGGGCCCTGGACGCGGCTCCCGCACGGGGAGCCCCTCCCCGCTCATCCCGCAGCAGCTGCCCGCCCTGGAGGAGCCGCCCCAGTCCAGTGTCCGCCGGGCTCCGCGCGCCCGGGGCGAGACTTCCGTCGCCGGCCTTCTGACGCCTTAGTCCGGAGCCGGAAGTGCCTGCGAACTCGTGTGCTTCCCGGCCGGGCGTCCTCTAGCGAGCGGGGGCGAGCTGGGGCCTCAGGGGAGAGGGCGCGGAGGGCGGCCTGGCGCCCCGGGCTCCGTCCCGGCGACTCGTCCTCTGTCCCCCCGACATGCCCGGCGCGGCGGACGCTGAGCGCTGCCCAGGGTCTCCACCCATGGACACGGTCCAGGTGAATAGCGGTGCTTTCTGCATGTGGGGGTGGCCGGGCCAGTGAAGACGAGCACGAAACCTGGACACCGAGTTGGAGGCTCCGGGAACCTCGGGTCTCTAGACCCTAGAGACCGTGTAGACGGCCGGAGTCCGGCCCAGAATGGTGGTCTGGGAGCCCGGGCGGGTTGGGGGGGGGGCTGAGACTCGGGGCTGGGCGGCTGCAGTATGGAGGAAAAGGGTAGCTCTAGGACCTGGATGCAATCCACTGTCACAGCCCCGATGTCTGTGGATGGTTGTCTGGCGGTAGGGAAGGAAGAAACTTGGTGGTTTCTTAAGCAGGATGACCAGATTTCTCAGGGAGATCTCCGTGCCCCTGGATTCGTGGATTCTGTCCTGTCTGCACTTAAGTCTAGGGCCTTGAGTTCAGGACAGGCCTCTTCACTGCTGTTGCCTGTGAAATGAGGACTAGAAGAGTGCAGGAAGCTAGAGCGTGGGGAAGCCTCCTGCCGGACCAAGTGTTCAGACATAATTTTCTGCACATTTGCCTGGTTCAGCTCTGAGCGGGATACGGTGGTAAAAGGGTCGTGAGGAAGAGAAGAGGCTTCAGTGGTGCCAATTCCTGCTCTGTTCTTTTGAGTATAAGGAGGAGAAGAACTGAAGGCTGGTGCATGTGAGTGGACAGCCTGTGGGGTGGAAGATGTAGCCTCTGGCCCTAACCATCCCTCTCACCATCATGCTAGGGTTGTGTGACCTTCCAGGATGTGTTTGTGAGCTTTTCCAGGGAGGAGTGGGAACTCCTTAACAAAGCCCAGAAAGTCCTGTACTTTGATGTGATGCTGGAGATCTTTGCACTTGCGGCGATACCTGGTAAGTCTCACCTAGTGATCTATTGCTGCCTGAAAATTGTCCTGAAATTTGTTTGTTTATGTTGTCAGTCAGGGAGCTTGAACTCAGGACCTGGGCACTGACCCTCAGCTCTTTTGCTCAAGGCTAATGTTCTACCACTTTGAGTCACAGCTCTGCTTCTAGATAAGAGTGTCCTGGGGACTTTCCTTCCCCAGTGGCTGGCTTTGAACCACAATCCTACTGAGTAGTTAGGATGACAGGCGTGGGCCACCAGTGCCCAGTCTCTGTCCTCAAATTTAATGGCTTAAAACACCAAAAGCCATGACCTCAGTTTTGGTGCCTCAGGACTCTGCTCAGCGCTCTTGTGGGTGCTGTGGGCCCCGTCTCTCTTGTGAGCCTTCAGGCAGGCTGTCAACCTATGTGGCCTGTCTGGGCCAGAATCCACTCACAAGCATGGTGCAGGGCCACTATTTCCTTGCTGGCTGTTGGCAGTAGACTCTGTTTCTTATCATGCTACCCTTTTTGGACTTTCCTCATATCATGGAGTCTGACTTCTTGTAGGCATATGAGGAAGAGATAATACCCAGGGGTAGAAGCTGTGGTGACATCTGATCCTGAAATTGACATTCATCACTTTTGGCACATTCTTTTCCTTAGAAATGAGCCAGTCCATCAAGGGTGGTGGCTCAAGCCTGTAATCCTAGCTAATTGGAAGATGGAGGTCAAGGGTTCATGTTTAGAAGCCAGCCTGGTGTAAGAGTTTGTGAGACTAGGTCTTGGTCAGTGGCTAGGCACCATGGTGTGTGCCTATCAGCCCAGAAAGAGAGGGAAACATAGGAAGAATTGTAGTCTCAGCTGGCATTGACATAAAGCCAGACCCTGTGTTGAAAATGAAGTAGGCCTTGAGAGGAGAAGCTGAGACAGCTACTTTACAGGCTTTGTTTTTGTTTTAAGGATTTTAGGAAAAACAAACAAACAAAAACCTTGGCTCCAACCAGCCCAGTTCTTGGAATGAAAAGAATGCCTCTAGGTCCCCCCCTCCCCTTAACAATTTAACCCACCTTCATTGTTCTGTTTAAGACTGACCAGATTAAACAGATAGCCTGTAATCTGGCTCGTGCTGGCGTGTTACTGTAAACTCCACCTTTTTCACATGCTTATGTTAAACTCCTTTGTGTATGTTTACCTTAAGCTCCGCTTTACCTTTGAATTCGTGAGTCATTTAAACCAAAAGTGATAGGCTGGTTTAAACAGCCATTATGTGACAAAGTGTAACCTCATTGGCCACCTGCGTGTGGTCTGGTATGACTGTGCAATCTTTTGGGTGAGTGAAAATCTCATTGATCGCCTACGTGACCAGGCTTCACCTTGTGATTTTTGCCTTTAAAAACCTAAGCGTGGGCCGCTCGGGGTCGCAGTATCAGCTCCTGAGCCTGTGCTGCGGCCCTGGCCGGTCAGTGTAGGAACCTTCTCAATAAAGTTGCTTCTTTAATATCAACTTTGTTGCGGTGGGCTCTGTCACTCTGGACAACTAGGTGGGCTTGCCTGCCTGAGTAGGGGTCTTCCTACTACAAAAACAGTGTGAAAAAGGACTGAATAAATGGTTAGATTGATAGTGGATATGCTTAGCAATTGTGAGGCCCTGAGTTCAAAGCCTCATTACTGCCAAAATGAGTAAGTGAATGGATGAACAGGTGAATGAGCCTGTCAGTGCATGCTTTAATGAGGGACACAGGTGTTGTGAGAAGAATCACAGGTAGCCATTTTGAGGGTGCTATCTACCAGCCTTCTAGCCCAACCTTGATGGAGTTTGATTGTCTCCCGGGGACATCCCTTCCTGTTCAGCCCGACCTCTGCCTGATTTCCTTTTCCTGTTCCCACAATAGGTACTGTTTTCCAGGGATTTGACTGTGTGCCCTTCTTGAGTAGTCCCGCCAAACTTTACCACACTCTTTCTGCATTTTTTATTTGCTGACGACTTCACCTGTCCCTCACTGATCATTTTCAGAGTCTGAGTTTGCCCTTAGCTAGAGTTCCTAATGTAGACGCAGGACTTTTCTGCATGATTTGACTTGGGGGTTCTTTTGTTGTTGTTGGTGTTAGGTTTTTAAAAAGAGGTATCTGAGTAAGAACAGCACCAGCACGCATGTGGTATTCAGGTAAGGGGTAGGTTTATTCAGTAGACCTGCTGGACCAGGCAAGGTTGGCACTCCACGTGGCTGGGAAAGGAAAGAGGAAAGAAAGAGAAAAGAGCTAGAAAAGGCAGAGAGAGCAGAAAGCTAGAAATGAACAGAGAGAGAGCCTGGGCCTGCGCTAGGCCTTATCTAGGGTATGGGCGGGGAAAGGTGTGGCCACATCAAATTCAGATGTGACCTCAGCGGATGCAGATGTGACCTCTTCCAGGTGTCCCAGTTGCCTAGGTAATGCAGGTACTGGGTGGAGACTTTGCTGCGAGGAGGGTGGAGTCTGCTCGCCATCCAGGAGTGGACCTTACTGTTGGTACTGGAGCTTGCACTCCGGGCCTCATGCTCTTGCTTGATTTACTTTTTGGCTCACAGCTGGTGCTCTCCACTGGAGCCATGCCTCCAACCCAGCATTTTTGCTGGTTACTTGGAGATAGAATCTCAAAGACTTTTCTGTCCAAGCTAGCTTTGAACAGTGGCTCTCAGATCTCAGCCTCCTGATCATCAAGGTTTATAGGCATGAGTCACCAGAGACCAACTTTTTCTTAAAAAAATATTTTATTTGACCAGGTGTCAGTGGCTTACTCTTGTAATCCTAGCTACTCAGGAGGCTGAGATCTGAAGATCCCAGTTCAAAGCCAGCCCAGGCGAGAAAGTCCATGAGACTCTTATCTCCAGTTAATCACTAGAAAACTGGAGGTGGTGCTCTGGCTCAAGTGGTAGAGTTCTAGCCTTGGGCTGAAGAGCTGAGGAACAACGCCCAGGCCAAGTTCAAGCCCCAAGACCAACAATTGTTTTTGTTTTTTTAATCAGTCTCTGGTAGCTCACACCTATAATCCTAGCTACTCAGGAGGCTGAGATAGTCCAAGCTGGAAAGTGTGAGACTTGGGGGCTGGGAAGGTGGCTCAGTGGTGGTGTTTGCCTCGCATGCATGAGGCCCTGGGTTTGATTCCTCAGCACCACATAAGCAGAAAAAGCCGCAAGTGGCTCAAGTTGTAGAGCTCCAGCCTTTAGCTGAAGAGCTGAGGGACAGAGCCTAAGCCCAGAGTTCAGGCAAGAAAGAGAGAGAGGAGTGGGGAGAGGGAGGAGGGTGAGACTCTTATTTCCAATTAACCACTAGAAAACCGGAAGTAGTACTGTGGTTCAAAGTAATAGAGCCCTAGCCTTGAGCAAAAAAGCTCAAGGACAGTGCCCAGGTCATGAGTTCAAGCTCCATGACTGACCAGAAAAAAATTGTTTTCTCTCATGTGTGCTGCCTCGGTCTCTGACTTTAGTTTCATTATAGTTTGCTTTTTAAGATCCTATGTAAACAGATTCATTGAATTAAAACTCCTTTATACAACTACTTGAATATTAAATCACAGAGCTGGGTGCCAATGGCTCACACCTGTAATCCCAGCTATTCAGGAGGCTAAGATCCGAGGATCACAGTTCAAAGTCAGCCCAGGCAGGAAAGGCCATGAAACTCTTATGTCCAATAAACCACCAGAAAACCAGAAAGGGCACCTCAAGTGGTAGAGTGCTAGCCTTGAGCTGAAGAACTGATGGACAGTACTCAGGCCCAGAGTTGAAACCCCATAACCAACCCCCCCCCCCCAAAAAAAAAAAAAGATTAAATTACAGAGGTATGGAAAACCCTGATGTATAAAGGAGGCCTGGTGAAGGCCTGGCTCACTGAATGGGAACCAAGTGGTGGAGGTAGCGTGTCAGGTTGGAGCTGTTCCAATCAGACTGTCAACTGGCCCTTTGTCCAGCAAGATACTGTTACCAAGGTTCATGATGGTCCTCACTGCTCTTTCTACCCTATTTTTGTCACTACCCACCTGTCATTCTCTCCTTGCTTCCTCCGGACATTTTTCCTGTCTCTGCCTTATAGTAGGTCACTTCTCGTAATGGTCAGAACACAGTATGCATTGTGTACATTCAAATCTTTGAGAATACTGTCAGATGTAAAGCTCACTTACACCTGCCACCAAACACCCTATGAAAACCCTTGTGCAAGGGATTCCCTCTGCTCTGCCCTGCCCTCTGTGGAGGCTGTAGTGACAGCTGACTCTTCTTAACGCTGACCTCAGCTCCCTTGGCTCTCAGCCAGCTATTTATGTGCTGAGACCACTGCTGGCTTCCGACCAAAGGGAACCAGGTTGTCACCAGCATTTCTCTGCTTTTAGGTTGCTGGTGTGAAGCAGAGGCCGGTGAGGCCCTTTCTGAGAAACATGTTTCTGTGGAAGGAGTGTCACCAATCAGGAGTCCCGAGCCAGGTGTGCGGATCCAAAATGCCTGCCTGCGTGAGGACTGGGAGGCCCTGCTGGAGCACACTGTGTGCCTGGCTGAGCACCAGGACTCATCCCTGCACACACTGCTTATCTGCGCCCCTGGTGGGAAAGGATTCTGCTGGCGCCAGAAGCGAAATTGCGGAGAGAATTCCTTCGGTGTAGACCATGCAGGGACTTGGTTGGTGAGGAGCTGTGTGGTCCACACAGTAAGGACCCCCTTTTCCTGCAGGGAAGCAGGGATGGCCGTGCAAAGCAGCTCCAGCCTCCTCAGTCACCTGACCACTCAGAGTGGAGGGAGCCCACAGCATGCCTGCGTGGAGCCATCCCCAAACGGTCTCGGGCAGCAGCATGAAGACCGTAACAGACAGGCACTTTCCACTTCCAGAGGTGATGAGAGAGCCATGCAGTTTTCAGTTCTCCTTGACAGCCAGACTGCTCGCTCTGCCGTGAGGCCCGTTAGATGCCTACCAGGTGGAATGGCATTCAAGGAAGACTCAACTCCTAGTCACAGGGGAGTTCCCGGCAGAACACCGCATGTGTGTGAGGAGTGTGGTAAGGCCTTTTCTCGCCCATCTCACCTAAAGATTCACCAGAAATGTCACACTAGAAAAGCACATTACACGTGCAGCGATTGTGGGAAGACAGTGAGCCGCAAAGACCTACTCATTCAGCACCGGAGAATCCACACAGGAGAAAGACCCTTTGAGTGCCGTGAGTGTGGCAAAGCCTTCAGACGTAAAGACACGCTTGTTCAACACCAAAGATTTCACACCGGAGAGAGGCCTTACAAGTGTGCTGAATGTGGGAAATTCTTCAGCCATAGCTCTCACCTGATCGAGCACTGTAGAATTCACACTGGAGCTAGGCCTTACCAGTGCATGGAGTGTGGGAAATTCTTTAGCCATAAGTCCAGCTTCCTTAAACATCAGAGTGTCCACTCGGGAGTGAGGTTGTATGTGTGCAGCCAGTGTGGGAAAGCCTTTGGCTGCAAAGACACCCTTGTTCAGCACGAGACAGTTCACACGGGAGCAAGGCCTTACCGGTGCACTCAGTGTGGGAAGGCCTTCAGCCGCAAAGACACACTCTCAAAGCACCGCAAGATTCACACTGGGGAGAGGCCCTATGAGTGCCATGAGTGTGGAAAGTTATTCAGACGTAGTTCCAACCTTATTGAGCACCAGAGAATTCACACTGGAGCAAAGCCTTATGAGTGCAACAAGTGTGGGAAATGCTTTAGTCACAAGTCCACCCTCATTCTACACCAGCGAGTCCACACGGGAGCAAGGCCCTACGTGTGCAATGATTGTGGGAAAGCCTACATCTGCAGCTCCCACCTCATCCAACACAAGAAGGTTCACACAGGAGCAAGGCCTTATGGGTGCACTCAGTGTGGGAAGGCCTTCAGCAGCAGAAACACACTCGCGAAGCACCGCAAGATTCACACTGGGGAGCGGCCCTATGAGTGTGGTGAGTGTGGAAAGTTATTCAGACAAAGTTCCAACCTTATGGTGCACCAGAGAATTCACACTGGAGCAAAGCCTTATGAGTGTAACAAGTGTGGGAAATGCTTTAGTCACAAGACTACCCTCATTCTACACCTGAGAGTCCACACGGGAACGAGGCCCTATGTGTGTGATGAGTGTGGGAAAGCCTATGTCAGCAGCTACCACCTCGTCCAACATAAGAAGGTCCACACAGGAACAAGATCCTATGAATGCAGCCAGTGTAGAAAACTCTTCAGGTGCAACTCCAGCCTTGTTCTCCATCAGAGAGTTCACACTGGAGAGAAGCCTTATGTTTGCCCTTGTGGGAAAGCCTACAGCAGAAAATCCAATCTCTCTCGGCACCAGAAAGTTCATGTTGGAGAAAGGTCTCATGCCCTCAGCCGTCTTGGTGATCCTTTTGTCAAATCTTTTGAGTAGCTTCCAAAAAAAAAAAAAAATTGAGAAAGGTCTTGTGTGTGCAGAAACTTTTGTTTCCTCTTCCAAGCAAATAGGAACCATTTCAGAAGTCCACTATCAGCCTGCAGGTTCGCCTCATTTGTTCTTTTATCTTTTGGGGGAGCTTTCCTTTCAGCATGGCATGTGAGAGGTTTTCATGAGAAGTGGATTTCTAAGCTGTACAGGGCTCTTGGCAGCCATCATACTATTAGAACTTGTGTTAGTCACTGTGTCCCGCTCTAGTCAGGCAGATGTTGCTCACTTCCCTATTCTTTACATGAATTTGTAAATGGGAGCACCCCAAGGGCCCTGTTTCCCCTCTTACCATTGGATTCCAAGTGGACATCATCTAGCCCTGGCCAAAAGCAACTAAGCTAGAGTCTGCTAGAAATGTTCAGCTAAGTTTTCCCTATATAGAAAATATTAACTGTGAGCATGATATCTATACATCGTTCATCTTACTGTCAGATCTCAATTTTGCAACTCCCTGTCCCATCCTGCTGTTTTTACACTGTGAGAGGGACATGTCCTAACACCCTTTACTCTTGGCTCTTTACTCTGCAGAGTGGACTGAGAAGGCAGTTGGGTTCTGCCAAGGTGAAGGGAGCCTTTATTTTTCAGTATGCTTTGATTTCATATACCCCTCTTGCCATTGTCAGATGGTGGGGACACGATTGTAAGGATTTCTCCTGAGCTCAGTGTACTTTTTTTTTGGTTGGTCGTGGGCGCTGAATTCTGGGCCTGGGCGCTGTCCCTCAGCTCTTCAGCTGAAAGTGAGCATTCTACCACTTGAGCCACAGCACCACTTCTGGTTTTCTAGTGGTTACCTGGAGATAAGAGTCTCACTGACTTTCCTGCTTGGGTTGACTTTGAACCATGATCCTTAGAGCTCAGCCTTCTGAGTAGCTAGGGTCACAGGCATGAGCCATTGGCACTTAGCCCAGTGTTCATTCTTAAGTTGCTTTTGAGATTTTCCTATATTTCTAGAAGCATTATGGATTTAGTTTTGGGGGGCTTTTGTTGTTTTTGTCAGTCAGGGGGCTTGAACTCAGGCCCTGGCCACTGTCCCTGAGCTTCTTTTGTTCAAGGCTAGCATCTTACCACTTGAGCCACAGCACCATTTCTGGCTTTTTCTGTTTATGTGGGAATGGAACCTAGGGCTTCCTGCACGCTGAGCCACATTTCTTGAATGTCACACGTTCCCTAGTTGTTGAGGGATTATTGCTGCCCAGACCTGTGCAAGGAGCAGGCTTCTGATATCCAAGGTGCTATAGGCAGGTGCTGTTGATTGCTGAGACACACCAGGAAATTGCAGAATCATAATTGATACAGAAACAAAGCAAAATGAGAAAGGCCATGGAAGAGATTTGTATATAATTTTTTCTTTTTTCTTTTCCAGTCCTGGGTCTTGAACTCGGGGCCTGGGCACTGTCCTTGAGCTGCTTTTGCTCAAGTCGAGCGTTCTACCACTTGAGCCACAGCGCCACTTCCGGCTTTTCCTTCCTGGTTTGTCATGCCTTGTGATCCCAGCTACTAGGGAGGCCAGGATCCTGACCCCGGGCATGACAACAGCCGCCAGCGGGCCCTGCAGGCCTAGACAGTGGTTTTCTGAAGCCTGCTAGGTCCTCCAACCCCTCGCTACTCTCTCAGCTTGGCTTTCATCTTTCCAAAATCCGGGTGGGGGACTCAGACAACTCTGCACCTTGACTGAAGCCGGGGAAGGGAGTGGGTGAAGAACTACAATACCCAGGGGCCCCTGACGCGCAGAAGCCGCTGAGCCAATGGGAGCCCAGGTTGGGCGCGTGCGCGGCGTGCCTGGGTGGGACTTCCGGGTGCGTCCTCGCTGCCGCAGCGTGCCTATCTCAGGGGGCGGTCTACAAATTTAAGGGTTCCGGAGAGGTGAGGGCGCCAAGGCTGGAGCCCGCGGAGCCTGTTACGGTCACGCGCAGCCCGTTCGGGTTCTTCCGGGGGCCCGAGTCTGGCGTGGGGCGATCTCGCGCCAGAGCCGGCGGGGAGGCGGTACGGGGAGGCCCTGTCCTGGGCCGCACGTGAAGGCCGCGGGTGGGCGCTGACGAGGTGGGGCGGAGGGGAGGCCGGGCTGGGCGGGCACCGGGGACGCCCACTCTGTCGAGTTCAGAGGGAAGAGCACAGGTTGCTCGATGGGGACATGACATGACCTGGCGCTGCCCGTCCCTCATCACCCTGGCTAGCGCCGCCGCTGGCCCGCCCACCCCCAAGAGCCCTTTTGTATCCTTCTGAGGTAGGGCTCCCTGGCCTGGGGGTCCTGATCCTCCCGTCTGCACCTCCGAAGCTGCTGAAGGTAAATATGTATTGCCAGTCCTGGGCCTTGAACCCAGGGCCTGAGCGCTGTCCCTGAGTTTGTGCTCAATGCAAGCGATCTACCACCTGAGCCACAGCTACTCTTCTGGCTTTTTCTGCTTATGTGGTACTGAGGAATCGAATTCAGGGCTTCCTGCATGCCACTAGGCCACACTCCCAGCCCCAGATTTTAAATGTTTTAAAAAGAACTTTAAAAGTGAGGGAGAAGTATGCAAATTTTCAAAATCTTCCACTTTATTTGTGTTAAAGACATACACAAAGCTTTGATTGAGAGGATCACTGTTCAAGACCAAGCAAGGGCAAAAACTTAGTGATACCTCATCTCAACAAACAAGCTGGGTGTAGCACATGTCTGTAACACTCCCCTCTCCTCCCCTCCCCCTCCCCCAGGAAATGTACATGGAGGGTCTTGGTCTAAGACTGGCCTAAAAAAAAAAAAAAAAGAACCTTTATGAAAAACAACTAAATCATAAAGGGCTGGGGCCACAGCTCAGTGGTAGCACCTCTTTAGCAAGTTTGAGGCCTGAGTTCAAGTCCAATGCTACCAAAAAAGTTCCCATGTAACAAAATTATTTTAATCCCATAGGATGTCATTTCTTATACATCATGCATATCAATTCTGTTTGATTCCAGGATGAACCTTGTGATGTGGCAGCCATTTTTGTTCTCATTTTATAGACACAGGCTCTGAGGCTTAGGGGGCCTCTGGCCTGGTCTGAAGTCTGGGAGCTGACCTGAGCTTGGGTCACTCTCTGGGCAGGCCAAAGGTGGTAGTGCAGCTCAGACGCTGAGACTGCACAGTGGCGGCCTGTTTCTCATGGCCTCCTTTTCCCCAGGGTCCCTGGAAGCAGCGCGGTGCTCATGGACCTGACACAGGTAAGGGGCAGACACCCCAGGCTGTCCCCACACTTCACCTGTGTCTTTCCTCCTCCCTTGGGCCTGGAGACCCTGTGGCTCTGCTCTGAAAGCCCGTGGGAAAGGCATGTTGAGTGGCTGGGCCCAGGAGGCTCAAGGAAGAAGAGGTGGACATGTGGGATTTGAACACGCTTCCCCTGCGGTAGCATGGAGAACTCGGAGGGACAGAGGGTGGAGACAGGACCGAAAGGATTGATGTTGAACAGAGTAGTAGCTGTGGAGGTGGGAGGAGCTGCTGGCTTCTGGATGGTTCTGTTCACCCTGGGAGGTGGAGAGTGTGGCACCAGAGAGGTGAGAAGAAGGAGGCTCACGAGTTCTCTCCAGTTCGCCTCGTCTGCACAGGCGGCCGCTGGGACTGCTGCTGTGTCCCACAGTTGATTGAATCTTGGTGGAATATGAGCAAGGAGGTATGGACTGAGTGTGTTTCAGACACTGCAAGGCTGTGGGTATCTGCTCCGTCTGAACAGAGCGGAGGTGGTCAGGATGTGGCGGGTGTGAGACTGACAGGTGGGGGAGGTGACTTTAGATTCTGGAACCTGGAAATGCAGCTGTTAGGGGAAGAGGGAGGGCTGGGAAGGTGGCTCAGTGGTAGAGCGCTTGCCTTACATGCATGAGGCCCTGGGTTCAATTCCTCAGTACCACATAAGCAGAAAAAGCCAGAAGTGGTGCTATGGCTCAAGTGGTAGAGTGCTAGCCTTGAGCTGAAGAGCGGAGGGACAGCGCCCAGGCCCAGAGTTCAGGCCCCATGACTGGCCAAAAGAAAGGGAAGAGGGAAGAGAACAGAGGGTCTGAGCTGGTGCTGGAGGCTCACACCTGTAATCCTAGATACTCAGGAGACTGAGGGCTGAGGATCATAGTTCAAAGCCAGCTTGGGCAGAAAAGTCCATGAGAAGCTTATCTCCAATAAACCACTTAGAAAAAGCCCGAAGTGGCGCTGTGGTGGTAGAGTGGGGTGTCTGAGGACGGGGTCTCACCAGGAAGGTGGTGGCAAGGCCTGGGGACTGTGGACATGAGGTAGATGCTGAGGCATGTCCATCGAAGTGAGCAGGTGGTGGTAAAGTCCTGGGGGAGCCATGAGGCTCTGAGGATTCCCCGGGTTGTGTGGCCCTTGTCACCTTCCTGAGGTCCCTGGGTTGTGTGGCTCCTGTCACCTTGCCGGATTCTCCTCTGCTTGGTTGGAAAGTGGGGTCTGCTGGAATGCTGAGGTGTGGGAGGTAAGAAAGGAGGTTCAGCTCCAGATGGAAGCCAGCATGGCTCCTCATTCATCACTGTGATTGCTAGGAAAATGCCGGTCTCTGGAGATGGCAAGCAACAGTGGCGCTGTCCTGGTTTGGTTTCAGCAGGGCTGGGTGACGTCTGAGGATGTGGCTGTGTACTTCTCCCGGGAGGAGTGGGGGCTGCTCGACGTGGCTCAGCGGCGGCTCTACTGCGACGTGATGCTGGGGAACTTCATGCTCCTGTCCTCACTGGGTGAGGCCTGGCACCTGTGGCCCTGATCCTTCCTCCTGTGAGAATGCCCCATGGCAGCTCTGTTCCCCACACCACCCTGTCGGTGTTGCTTCCTTCCCGGGTTTTCTATCAATGCTGTGGGAACCAGGGTCACATACATGGTACCTCCCCCCCCTCCACTGCCATCCTCTCCTCTCTAGGCACATCGGAGCTTGGTGCCGCCTCCTGCCTCTTCCTGTTGCCAGTGTTCTTCCAGGCTGGTCTTGCCAGGAGCCTTAGGCACCACCTGG